TCCCAAAAAATTATACGTGTTTTGGAAATGTTGAGTCGAATTAGTCTAGAATCGGTTAATTTTATAGAAGAAAACCTTTCGAACAGCCTTAGTCCGTAAAGTTCCCACCTATCGGGCTGCGATTGGCTCATGTATTTAATCGTTCCTACAACGTAATTTTCGGTTAGCGTGGAACGTATCTAAGCGTTATAGCGGGGGTCTACTGTATGTATTTATATGCGAAATTATACCCCGACTTACGCAAATTTGACTTATGTGGTTATTGCTCAGTCCCACCTATCGCGTAAGTTCAGGGTATTACTGTATACTCTATTACACATACATAGAATATTATTACAATGAAAGGGTTATCACACACCTGAAACTATTAATGCCTTGTATGTATTGTAAGGAACCAAGTCCGAGCATTATTTTTATTTACTTTTATTTTGCTTTTTATTATATTTTTGTTTGGGGCTTATGTTTTGTTAGGATGAAGGTTTCCTCACCATTCTACTTAGAAACTTAAAAATAGAAGAGAAACCAATTCACCAACGAGAGAAAAGCGCCGTAGAAAAAACTCACGCACCCTTGCACTCCCGAGCGGAAAAAAGTAAGTCTGCACCGAGAAAGGGGAGAGACCCCACAAGCACAACTTAGGGACTCGCTAAACCTTAAAGAATAAAAACATCCCGAAAATTGTCAAAAAGAATAATGTAAAAGGTTAGCGAGTATTGTCGGAAAATAGGCTGCCAGAGAAATAGAAAAAGTTTATTGTTAGCAAATAAGTATGTAAATGAGGGGAGTGATCGCATTCAGAGTTGTGACGTCACCTCACAGTATAAAGTCCGAATCTCAAGTGAAGATGGACGAGGAGAGCTTCTGTTATCAATGAGCTTAGTGAGATTCGTAGCAGCAAACGAAAGAGAGGTGTCCGATAGGATAAAATAGTTCCAAGGCGCTTTTGAAGTTATTCGAATTGTGGATCAAAGATTAGAGAAAGTCTTGAGAGTTGAGGAAAAGGGTTCCTAGTATATTGAGGTGACGATTAGGATCTTTAATTCATAAGAAATATTGTATATAAATTAAGTCTTTGAAATTTTGTTGAATTCCAAAGGGGAATAGAATTAAGTTAGAAAATAGATTGATTGAGTTTTGTCGGGTTGATTCTTATTGATTTTCATTGAATAAATTGTTACTTGACTTTTACTAAATATTGTATATAGTTTATTACTAGAACTTTTATTAAATATTTGAATTGTTTTTGACAAACTTTGTCATTATTTAATTCGGTGCACGCTTAAAGTCCAGGCCTGGCATACTAACGCGAATCCGTATAAAGTACCCGTTAGGGAACGGCTATTTCCGGCACACAGTTGTGTCGATAATCGTTGGAAAAGTTGGAAAAATAATATAGTACTTTACAATATCCTAAAAGGCATTTTGGCCTCTGATGTTAATGGCCCTCTTCTGTTAGGTGAATGACATTTATAAAATATAAGACAAAAATTTTCCTAAAGAAGTTATTACAAGATTCACACTTACAAAATGTTAAAATTATAAACTATTAACAATCAAAATGTTTAAAACTGTACACTTAGTTGTTGACAACTTTACAAATGAACATCTTGAGACCATATTATGCAACACAGTGGGATATCTAAAAGGGATGTAGTTTCAAAGATGCTGCTGTCAAAGATCTTTATGGCTTTATTACATCTCATACTTCACCAAGCCCCACTACCTCTTCCAAACTATCAAGTACATACAGTACTCCGTACCAAATGTTGACGTATTAATTATCATACATTTTAGTCTAAATTTAATTAAATCCACAACTAATTTTATAAAATTCTTAGCTACCTTTCTCCATTTGGAGTGGTATTGAAACTTTAATAATTGCATGAACATGCATAATACACTCCCGTATCACCATTTTAGTTGCACCCTGCACCAGTCTATAAAGTTACATTAGATCCATTAATTTTAAGGCATATCTTATACAAGAAATTAATTATAATCTACCATTCAGTTTTTGTATCCAATTGATTATTACCATATCAAATTTGCTTGTACTGTACATTAACGTAATGAACTTATCTGACCACTTATGTATGATTTCTTGGTTGGTTATGAGCTGGTAGGGCTTGAGCTACTAGGCTATACAGCCTCTGCCTAAGAGTAGTCATAAATTGGACAACTGAACTACTTATGATATTAACACCAAAGTAGTTGTGCCACCTATTGTCTATTCTCATACTATTCTCAAAAATGTCTTTTATGTTGGAACTTTAATACTGCCCAGAAATTCTCAATTTTTCTTCTCTAATTGTTTCTTGGATTTTTTGTTCAAGATTTTAACAATTTTTAATAATCTCTTGGTTATTCATTCATTATGTACTGTACATGTTTATGATTTTGGATATTTCTTTCTGTTTTATTTCTTCATTAGTGATCCTGTGTTATATTTGTCTATATATAAATTAAAAGTATTTTTCTTTATATATACTTGTATTTCAGAATAATAGTTGATTTTGTTTTGTACATTGCATTCTTTTTCATATTTTTGTAAAATTTATCATTTTTTCTCTTTATTATATCTAAAAATGGTATCGTATTATTACTTTCTTTTTCTATCTCAAACTGTCTATTTTATTTATAATATCCACAAGATTATCTAAGTTAACTAAATTATTTTCATAAATAATGATGCTATCATCTACATATGTTATATAGAACAATATGTGGTATTTGACTAATGTGAATTGGCTGGCCAAAGCCCAAAGTGGTTGTAAATTCTTTATATTTCATGAATTGGCTACACTTCGAACATTGACCATAACATATATATGCATAGTACACCCATACCTCGCTATACGGTCGCTTTTTATACGGCATTTCACTATAACGGCCCTCTTCGATTAAGGCACGTTTTCGATTTATGGCCTAAAATGTTTCGCTATAACGGCAAAAAAAACTTTTTTTTGATGTTGATATATCTACATGTTGCCAATCTTCGCAAGCGCAATCTCGATGCACACTCTTTTCTATTTCCTCTTGTTTACGAGCGTTATTCAGTGTGTGCTCATAAAGCGGCTGGTTTAGACTTGCCCGTGAGTGTTTTATGTACATATTTATTACTGAAGAACGAAATAGACAAGAAGGCAAGACAAACAACGGTGGACAATTTTTTTAAGCCAGGTCCATCCTTACCAGCAAAAAATGATGACGACAGTGATCTGCAGGTTACCATTTCTTCATCGTCTTCAGATTAAAGCCATTTTAAAAAAATTATGTATGTAAACATACACATATTTTATGTAACATGAAGTTGTTTCATTTTTGTTTATAGATTATTGTTGGTTTTTGGAGTCTGTTATTATTTTATGTACAAATGTATGTACTTCTTATGTATGTATTTTTGATTTAAATGAAATAAAAAGATAAAATGCATTTTGAATGATAAACCATGTTACATATTTAATAAATTTGGAACCGATCCCATTGAATTTGTATGAATTTGTATTAGAATAATTGATTCCTTATATGGCTTTTCGCTTTGCGGCCAAGTTTCGTGGAACGTATCTAGGCCATAAAGCGAGGTATGGGTGTAATGTAATTTACAAAAATGAAAAGCAAATTAACTAAAAATAAAATTATATAAATTTTAATCAATCAACAGTTATAACTTATAACAATTTTCAAATTATTTAACAGACTTATTTTCAGTATATATTAATTAAAAATATTCAAATAAACTTATTTTAATCTAATTTTTGTATAAATCTATTCAATTTAAATGTTGTAACTAGGATTTGAAGAATATTCTATTTATCTTCTATGCATCTTCTATTTACTTTTACTGGATAAAGAATATGCACAGATAAAATTCTTTAACTTAATTTCAAAATAAAAAATATTTTTATTAATGTTATACATAAAATATAAGCTGAAACTATTTGAGATACAGGTATACCTCGCCTTATGTTGGTAATTGGTTCCAGGAGAGACGACTTAAGTCGAAAAACAAGTAAGTTCAGAAACAAGTAAACTCGACATAAGTCGAATTTACTTGTTTCTGAACTTACTTGTCGCTGAACTTACACTAGGCTAAACCACAAATAACCATTCCCAGTTCTGTATTTTATTTATAAATGCATTTTTAATAATATATGATTAAGAAGAATTTATTTTAAGCTTACAAACAAATTTTAGTTTTTAATATAGTACAGAAAAAAAGTAATCTAAATTTACAAATACATATATGGTACAGTACATACAGTACATAGTTGTAAATAAATATACATGTTTACAATTTGGCGATGTTTAAAGTACATCACTGACTCTTTATTTGTGAATGTGGTTTGCTCTAAGACATTATAAAATAAGATGATTTTGTAAGGTTAAATAACAAATACAGTTATTAAAATTATTTTGCGATAGTAAAAAATAAACTAATTTATGTTAAATTTACCAATAATGAGTGGCACTGGCAATGACACCAAAAAGTAGATATTGGAACTACCATGGAAAATGCCAATATTGAGCTCTTAAAGACCAATAAATAAGATGACAACACAAAGTCACAGATGTTTTTGTGAGCCTGCAGATTTTTACGGGGCTCTTAAAATCAAAAATGTAATGTTAATTGTTTTCAAAATGTAAATATCTTTATTAGAAAAAAAAAAAACGGAGAAGTAGAAATTAGATCAGAGGTCACCGGTTGTAGTAACAAGTCAGTGGGAAAGTTGACAAGTGGCTGTCAAGATTGCATCGTCATTGTCAACAAAGGTCAATCACGTGTTAGATTTCCCACAACAATCGTGTAAAAGGTGCAAGCCACCAGAAGCTCAAGAGTTTGCACACAAAAGTTATATTTGGTCTTAGTGGTTCCCCATTTCCCGCACCTCCATGCAACGGACTAGACATAGTCCTAGGAGAAGACACCGGTAGAAGACAGCAACAATGCTGAACGCTTCCATAAAGAACTGTTATTGCCGCATATAGCACTCCTCCAACTTTAGAGGTGATTATCAGCAGACTGCGAACTCTCTCTCTCATAACAGAAGTTGGCAAAGCTGTCATAGAATAGACTAAGCAGTTGTCAATCATAGACTTTGTAATCTTATGTTAATTGCATCTAGCCTAAATAGCCTAGAGATATAAGCATGCAATTCTGTTTAGTCTCCTGTATTTTAGTGTTAGCCATATAATAAACCTTTATTTCATTATTTTGTTAAACCTGTCTCCTGTCTCCGAAAGGACATCTTCCGACTTGCTCACCTCCCTCACCAATTGATAAAAAGCCAACTTGAGCAGTCCTTGCAGACTGTTGCCGAGTAAGTGGTCAGAAGGGATTAAACCTTGGCCCATGGTATCCCATATTTTCATATTTTGTTCTCTATGATTTGTGATGATTATATTAACATTTACTGTAAATGTATGTATTTTAATATGATTTTATGTGCTTTTAACAATTTTCTAATATTACGATTTCAATATTTGTGGAACAGACAGACATAAAGTTGAATAAAATGACTTACTTGACTTATTTTTCATAAATTTTTTTGACAAATGACATATAATCAAGAACAATGTAAGATGTAACTTGAGATATACCTGTAGTTTAGAGAAATTTTTCTTTAAATATAATTTGATATATTATAAACAATGTTTGTATTTTTAATAATAATTACAATATATAAATGTTATGTATGATATATAATTTACTGTAGAGGAATATTAAAACTGAAAATAAAATATTTATTGTATAGAGATGGACGAGTAATGGGTGTATTGGAAGTTTCTCGTTCGTTTGGAGATGGACAGTTCAAGACAAGTGGTGTCATCTGCTTGCCGGATGTTAGACGCTGTCAGCTGACACATAATGATAGTTTTATACTTCTTGCATGTGATGGTTTATGGAAAGTTTTTACATCACAAGAAGTTATATCCATAGTCATGAAAACTTTAGAGGTAATATTTTTGCTGCTGTGTCCACTCCTAGATGTGTCTACATAAGTACTTGCTGCTTCTTGTGACTACTCATTTTTATAGTTTTTGATTAATATTGCTTGTGGACCACACATTTCCTAGAATAGATGCCTCTGTACTTCAGTCATGCTTGGAGAAGTTGACAACCACAGGCAGCTGTTAGCCAATGGCCGAGTCAAGACCAGTGCATGCTGGCCTTAACAGTACAATTTGTATGTAAAGTGAAATGCCTGATTTTCAAACATGTTTGAAAATCAGACAGCTGCACTATACATGTGACAGCATTTAAAACCATTCCAGCCTCATATTAATTTTGATAAGTTTCACAGAACATAGTTTGTTAAACACTGATATAGATAATCAGAGATTCCATCCAGAATGTTTTCTGTTTGACAAAAGCCATTTCTTACAGTTTTGAACATACCCAGGTTATTTGAAATTATCCCTTGCTATAGACATTTTAACTTCATTATGAATACAGTACAGTATAATACTCATAATGGCCATCTTGTAGCAATAATTGTAGAAATTAATAATTTAACAAATTTTAACATTTATCAATAAATAAAATTTTATTATTATTTCATCTGACCTTTAAAAGTTCATTATACAAAAATTAAGCAACATTAAAAAAACAAGAGGTACATTACGTAGAACTTTGTAATATGGAGGTCTGGGTATATTTGTCTTTAATATTATATGTGTAAGTTCGCCGACTTCCGGGGGGAATTGTTAATCCCGCGTCAGGATGATCTAGGGTCGTTCGTGTGTGGGTATGGCGGAGGAGACACGGATGACAAGTATCTGACAAAAATCTGTTTAATTTAACAGGAAATAACTTACACTATGCACAAAGTTCCTTAACCAATTAAATGTTCGTAAGTTTTAAGTGTCGAGAATGTTTTTCTATCGTCCCTCGGAGATGGGCCCCGGGGCTGCGGCAGGTAAGGAGACTTGTCGGTAAGCGTCGGTGGCACAGCTCTCTCGATGATCACTAGTGCGGAATCTTCGTCTTCTGTGCGTCAACACACAGTGAGTTTTTCGCTTTGGACTTTCTGGAGTGCAGGTTTACGGAAGAAGTCCCTCTGTTCTTCAAGATCGGGGATTATATCAATCTCCGTTCTCTAATTTGTTTATTCTGATTGGCTCCCTCGTCTGTCTCTAAGCGAAAGTCAATTCCTTTTTCGAGTCACGAGAAAGATCTGCCTTGAAGAATCTACTTGACACCATCCGTTATTCTGGATGCAAAATGTTGATGGAACTTTGAAACTTGCGCTCATATTTTCCACCACTGTTGTCTAGTCTGTGACGTTTTTGAAATTTAACAACACGACGCGATGTCCTTTTTCGTCATTAATCTTTCCTCTTTTCAAAATTTCTATGTTCTAATTATGTGTATATGAGCGACTCTTCAAAGGTCCATCTCTACTAGAGGTCGTTTGTTTACAATTATTAATCATTTAATATTATTAAGTTCCATTTACATCAATGGCGTTTTTTTTTTCTCTCGTCGCGGTTTCATATGACTAACACAACTAATTCGATCTTTGATCGGTTTTTAACAATAGACGATTTTTTCTAGTTTCGTTTTAATAAATTTCTAATAATAAATGTTTAATTTCAACCCGTTTTTGGAACCTTGCATATGTGTATAATTATGGAAGTGTATTAATGAGTGAATAAGCATTATTTTTTATCATAGAATGTTGTACTGATATTTTTTGGAGTTAACTTTTAAAATAACATTTCCATTAATTAAAATAAATTACTGAAATTTATATTAATCTTTAATAATAAATTTGTAATCTTGTTATATTTTAGTTATTAAAGAATATTTAATTGTTAATATAATTATATTTAATTGTTGCTATTCTTGATGATTTCATTTTCTGTAATGAAACCAGTTTCCTCCGTTTTTTGAAACCAGTTTAATAGATAAAACTGAATTCTTTGGTAACTTCAAAATTTTGTATATATGTTACTGTGAATGACCAATATCTGGCAAATGTCAACATTCTCCTGTGGATGTCAGCATTCACACAGTCGTTTCATGTATGTATGAAATATTTGCTAAATATCGTTATTTCTCACTTACACCAGCAAATGTCGACATTCAGCATGTACTGATGGTGAATGTTGAATAAACATATTTTTATTACGTTAAGACAAAAATGCAATATTTTAATAGGAGAAAGCTTAATTAACAGCATATGTAAATAAACTGTTGAACCTAAAACGAACAGTGCATTCTTAATCATTAAAGAAAATAATACAATAATAAACTTACACGTATATTATGTGATCAACGTTATACAATCTTATTTATTGTAACAACTTAAACTGTTATGGCACTTTGAATTGCACAAGAGTTCCTTGCTTTTACAACTGCATTTATTCATGGAACACTTCTTTTTGCAATGACAGCATGTATAGCCTTGCCCTCCACTTTTCAAATTAGTTGCAGGTGCTTCTTATAACTTTTCTTTACAAATTACAAACTGATTATGTTATTATGTGATTACGAACTGATTACGTTATTACATGATTACGAACTGTTCTGTTAATGGTGTCTTTTATTCAGATATCACTGACACCTTACCGACAACCCCTCTCATCCTCCGCCACTCGACCTGACAAACTGATCCCCACCTCATGGGATCAAAAGATCAAAAATGCCATCCAGTGACAAAGTGAGCAGTTTCCACCAAACTGTTGCCAGAAAAAGAGGTACGACCATGTCCTACCTCTGGCTATCCATAAAGTATTTGGCGACAGACTGTCGCCTCTCTGTCGACATCGGCGTCACAGGTGTCGTTTTGACCTCCATCAAAGCTTATCTGTGTTTGTTGACATAACACCGGCGATTGTTCGAATGTATAATAATAATAACCAAATATTCGGACTTTCACCAACATATTTTGTATGTGTTGACATTCTCTAATTTTGGTCTTTCACAGTAACATATATACTGAAGATAAGAGAAATGGGTGGTATCTTTCCCAGTAAACTTTTTATTATTTAAAAATAAATCAACCATATTTTTTCCCTTTATAAGATCTAAAATTTTTCTGTAAATTATAATGCATTCTATGATCTGAATATGTCTTATACTATAAAGAAGAATTTTTCCCAAAAATAATCAATATGAAAAGTTGATGTGTTCAATACAATGGTGTATCTTAAGATGAAAAATACAGTAATTGCTTTTTTTTTTTAAGTTCATAAATATCAAATGAACTTTAAAGTTTTTAAATAAATATTTACAAAACATTAAAGATTTTGATTTTTGTTGTAAAAGTTAGTCATAAAAAAGAATGAAAGGAATTTAATTTTGAAATTCAATGTACTGTTGAAATATAAGTTTAATGTTTTAGTTTGAAAACTGCAGTATAGAAGTAGTTAGCACCAGAAAATGATTTAACAAGTAGTTCTTCATAAACTTTTCATTTGTAAATGGCAGATTTTACAGCTGTTGTTTCTTATATTTTATTGTTGTGTTGACTAGTATAATCTATTTGTGCTATTGTTTGTGGAATTATATTTTTCTAATCTGGTTTTTCTAGTGAATTTTTTTGGAATTTTGAAAACAACAATTATTTAATAATGAGAGTAATTGATTTTGAAATTCCATAGGTGTTACAATATCACAATGTGACGTGTCAACATGTGAAACAAATATTTACTTTTATATATTACAGAAAATATTTCTACATTTGAAATTGAAAAGTCCTACTTTTATGTCAACTATTCTTTTATCATACCTAAAAAGAATGAATAGGCAATAATAGCAGGCAGATCTGTATGATTTTTATTTCTCTTAATTTTAATCAAGGGAATTAATATATAGGATGTCTGAAAATTACTGGCAGTGAAAAATTTATACTAACATTGATGTTATATGTGCAGTATTGCATATGGGATCTATTCAGTAATTCTGTGTCAATTCTTTGCAGATTATGCTGAAGATGAAGTAAACAAAGATAAGGACATGATTCTGAAGAGTCTAACTTTACTTAAATCTAGTGGTTATTGATTTCAGATGAGCAAATGCTTTTCCACTTTCAGGTGTTCTAAGCACATTTGCACAGCAAAATACATCTAAAAATTGAGATATGCTTTCAACTCTTCATAACTAATGTGTTTCACACAGCATTAATAGTTTTGTGTAATCCCACTTTCCTTTATCTGTTTCATGTATATCATCACTCATCTGTTTCAATGTTGGTGCTGGAATTGGCTTTCTACACTCATCTGACATTACTAAACTAACAGTTTAGTAATGACAGATGTCATTACTAAACTGTCATTACTAATCTGTCATTACTAAACTGTTAGTTTAGTAATGACAGATGAGTGTTGTCATTGACATCATTAACACTTTCATCCGAGGTGATGTCATTTTGGCATTTAAAAAATACTAACTTACATTTAGCAGATTTGTTAATAAACTTGACAACTTTCTGTACTACTCAACATATTTCTAATAGAGGATTCCATGCAGCTGTTATTTTTTTGATTTTTTTGGGGTACTTGAGAACATGCCCCTCCATTTTTTTCATCTGTTCCTAATCCCAAAGGGGCTCCAAATTCCGTGATCAACAAACGTCACACTTGTTAGATTTGTTGAAATGTCAAGATCCATTGGCTTTGGCCAATGGATCTTGACATTTCAACAAATCTAAGAAATTCTTCCTGTACAATTACAGTTTCAATGATCTTTTCTAAAATTAATTTTTGCATTCCTGACCTGAATTAATTCATTCTGAACCAAAATACTTACCTGTTTTTTTTTTTGTTACTTCCAAATGCTGCTTAAACATCACATCTGTCTTGGCACAAACTTGACAAGACTCAAAATTTTCTTTTTTATGCCCATGAAAAGCAATTCCTCTCTTTCCCAGCCATTAATAACTATAATGCTTTTTAGAATTTCTATATTATTTTCTATTTTTTGCTTCTATGCATTATTAGAGAAGCATTTCTGTTCCCTCTATGATCACTGATCTATGATTCAGCATCAGATTGGTGCTCCCACAAGGTGGCTAACTTGACCTTCTGGTTTTGGTCAATATACAAGAAACAAATTACGTAAAAATAGTTGCATGGGGCATTGGACAAATATCGTTCATTGGTTTCTTTTATGTTTGCAGAATTGGCTAGAAGTCATGAATTTTCTGTTGTTTGTTGATCACGGAATTTGGAGCCCCTTTGGGATTAGGAACAGATGAAAAAAATGGAGGGGCATGTTCTCAAGTACCCCAAAGTAAAGGCACCCGTGGCTATATGCTATGACCTATATTTGAAAATATATATGTTACTGCTAAAGCTCAGAAACTTGTTAATCTGCAGATTACCTAGTGTGATCCGTTAAAGTTGCTAAAATTGTTCTATTTCTCAAATTACTTAGGTAATGTGCAGATTATCTAGGTAATCTGCAAATTACCTACTAGGCACTCGCATGTCAGTAAAGTGAAAATAAGATCTTTGCTGAAACAACAGCGACGTTTCTGTACGCTTAAATTAACATAATGTTCTTTATTTAATTTTCGATATCTAAAGAATCAATTTAATATAATGAAACAATCGACAAATTAGTTGATAGAATCAATCATCAACCAATTAAAAAATGTACAAAAAATCAAACAATTTAAAATATTAATACAATTAGGAAAGTTATTATATAGATAACCATATATGGAATTTCGGAACTTTGAGTATCTATCTGAACTGAGGGGACCGAGACAACTTCAACAATACCATACTTTTGGACCGGAGACGAAAAATAATAAAGTTATCATACTTTTTCTGGTGATCGCATGATGTAATTGTGCAGTTAATGTTACCTATGGTGTGTAAAATGGCAGCTCGTCTCTGATTCCAGCAAACAGAAGAAAGGAAACAGTGGGGACACACATTCTGTCCTAACCTAACCTATTTTAATAAATTACCGTAATTATTACCAACCAAATTATTAGAATAGGTTAGGTTAGGTTTTAATGTGCGTCCTCACTGTTTCCTTTCTTCTCTTTGCTGGAATCAGAGACGAGCTGCCATTTTACCCACCATAGGTAACATTATCCAATTGTGCAGTCTAAAGATTGGTGACACTTTGAATTTCATAGCAATTGGTTTCTGCGGCAAGCACACCTATTTGTGGTACATTTATTTGTGGCGAAGATCTTATTTTCACTTTACTGAGTGTCTAGTAGGTAATGTGCAGATTACCAAGATACTCTGCACATTATCTAGGTAATTTGAGAAATAGAACAATTTTCACAACTTTAACGGATCACGCTAGTTAATCTGCAGATTAACGAGTTTCGAGCTTTAGCGGTAACATATATATAAGGAGACCAAGATAAACATCTTGGTCTTCTTATATATTATCTTTTCAGCAATCCTTGCAATTATTATTATTATTTATTTTGTCATTCTTTTGTACATGGTTTAGGAAATTTTCTAAAAGAATTATATAAATTATTTTGTAATTTTATAAAACTTGTCTGATAAAATTATGGTATACTAAGTTTTTATGAAGAACATTATAATATACAATAATTTTGAAAACCTTTAAAGACTTAAAGGCATTAAATAATTTATAGTCATTAAGTATAATTTTTATTTTTATTATAACAATAATTAGAAAAATTATACAAAAAAATTATGTTGCATATTTGGTGCAACTTCCGTAATTTCTCTTTTTTTTACAGTCAACAAACTGTAAAAAAAAAGGAGAGAAATTATGGAGGTGTAGATAATAAAACCAAAGTAAAACAGAATGTAATCAAATTTCCAAAAAACACCCAACTTGTTAAGTGGTAAACCTGACAACAAATATTTGTACCCTACTTAAAACTAGTTTAAAACTAGTTTTACCCTTCTGTGGAATTTTAATTGTTTTTAAAATGTGCTTGAAAAAACAACATAAAGAGAAAAACTGAATATTTTTCCAAGAGAAACTAAATTAGAATTTTGATTACTTTTGCAGGATTCCAACATCCAGGCCACAGATCTGAAGAGGGCAGAAGAGGCAAGATACGAGACCGCTTGCAACAGACTGGTCAACGAGGCGGTTCGAAAATTGAGTGGCGACAATGTCACCGTGGTCATCGTGGCCATTCAAAAATAAGAAGACCTCATCTGTTATTCCATAAAAAAATTATTTTGTTCACATTTGACAATAACTTCACCACACCAGACATACAGAATATATTTAACAATTTCTTTCGTGTTTACTGTAAGAAATTTATCAAATAAACAGTATCCATTACACATTATTTGGTAAACCTGTTATTTTTTTAAAATTTTGTAAAACAAAATCTGACAACAGGAACACTTATCAGATTCTATTTGCAGAATTTGCATGTACAAGGATAAATAACTATTGACAGAATGTGCTAAAAACCAGTCAAGCATGTTGCAGACAATAAACAAGTTATAATATCTAGCAAATCTTATTTAATTTAATCAAAAAAATTTCTTGCTTTATCGATATATAAAGTGTTCTTAATTAAGTTTTGTACATTTATAACACATTTGTTAAGTGGAACATGCATTTTTACAACAGCACGAATCAAAAGTCTCCATACATACTACCTAATGTTACCTGTATACAACAGCAAATGTACCAATGTGCTGTGTAGACACACAACATCAGACAAGTTCATCATAACACTAATTCTTTGCTTATGTATCGTGACTTTTAAATCACCTTTTATACAAACAACCGGAGAAAAAGAGTGTGTCAAAGCAGGGCCTTACAGACTTTATAATATAAAAAAAATCACAGAAAGTTAAATTTAAAAAACCAAATTGCAAAGTTTCTGCTTCATCGATTACCACACATTAATTGCTCTCATTTTTTTTAGAACTTCTAAAAATACCACAATCTCTTTAGAAAGGGAATTGTTGATTAAAATTATCGATTTATTCAACAATAGAAAGAAAAAATAAATTATCTGTACACTTAAATCCATCAATATCAAGATTAATGAGGGGTGGAGACGTTTGTTCTAAATGGGAATGATAATTCTCCGAAGATGATTGTGTACGTATATGTGTTTTTGAATAGAAACCATGCGTGACAGGAATAAATGAGGATGATTTAAATATTCGTAAGTGCGCGTGTGACCTAGAGTGGCGTTGCACACAATACCGGAGTCACCTAAAGATGTGTGACCTAGAAAAATTTTCCGTTTATTCGTCGAGCCTCGATATTTCGGGGGAAAAAAACAAACACCACACGTTGCCGTCTGCATGTCGAGAATTGACCCACATTTAAAAATTTTCCAGCGGGTCAAGTGTAATTACATAAATTTTTAAGCATTAGAAAAGGTCACCCGAAGACTATAGTAATTGTTTTTTTATTTTTACGAAATTGAATTATTTAGAAACAAATTTGTTTTTATCCATACGAATTTTTAAAATTAATTAATGCCAAAAACTTATGAATTTTTGACATTTTAAGAATTAATTTTTTCACAACAGCAGCAAAAAAAAAAAAAAAGAAAAGATTATTTGTATGAATTCCTTTGATTTGTTCCTTCAAATTAAATTAAAATATTAAAAAAAAATTATGAATAGAATGCAATTTTTAGGATTGAATCCGCTAAATTCGTACAAATTATTTCTATAAAATTGCGTGAATTTCACAGATTAATCCGTACAAACTTTTATCAATAAAATACAAAAAAAACCAGTTTTTCATCTTAAACTTGTATTTTTGATTCTAAAAAATGTTATCAATTCAATAAAAATTCGGAATTTTTTCGAATCCGATAGAAATCGAACCTTAAATCTAAAAACTTGATCGATTAACATTGTTTTTTTTTTTTCTTTCTATCTTTCTTTATTTTCATCAAGCCTCTCTCTTAATGGGAAAAATAAATGAAAACCATTTTAAAAAATTCATTCCGAATCTAAAAATACCAAAATCGATCTTAAAATATTCTAAAAATACAACATTTTGGGGTCACGTTTCGACCCATAAAAACTTTGTTTTCTAAGTCCACGCGATGACCCCAGGTCCAAATCGAGATCTGGCCTAAATTATACGGCATCTAATTTCAATAAATCTATAGAAAATGTTCTTTTTTTTTTAATGATTTACTCAAAAAAAAACGAATATCAATCTAAATCGATCAATCAGTAAAATAGGTTTTCGGATATTGGATGTTTTTAAGTGAATTTATCTTGATCTACGCTATTTGAAATGAAAATGTGGCTCTTCTAAACCACACCCTTCGCTTAATTATATACCACATTAATTATATTTAATTAGAAGTGGTATTATAAAGTAAATAGAATATTTTAACTTCATTTCAAAGTTATAAACGTTAATGATATTTCTATAGAAACTAAACTAAATCTAATCGCTTCTATCTAGAATTACTCGTGTTCCACCCACGTGTAATTATCACGTGGTCGATTTTCCCGTTAGGATGTAAAAAATTGCAATGTAATTGCTCGGAAACGTCATTAAAGACGTAAAAATATTCTAAAATCATATATATATATATATATATGTTATACAAAATGCTAATCTATCGAATTTAGCATTAAAAAAATTAATTTATTATGATATTCATAATTATATGAGGATAGACAAACAGACGGACGAAAAAGAGCTAACACAAACAGAAATTAGTGTTTTATAACATAATATAAACATCCGGTTGTATACAAATGTATTATAAATTACACGTCGTTCGTACTTTAACCGAGTTAAATGTAAATAAATTTATAATTCGGGTCTAAAAAACATCTAATTTACATAAAGTACGAATTTAATAGAATTATGCACTTAGTTTCATTTAATTGTAATTAAATAGAAAAACAGCCTAAATAACCCTCAAAACATCAATTTTTATAAGAAAATACGAGTCAAAACTGTATAAAGACGATTAAATTTTTAAATTAATTTTAATTACAATCAAATAAACCATTTATATAATACAAAATCAACCGAAATTTCATTAATTAATTAATTAAACAACGAATATAAAATAGCACCCAGTTAAGAAAACACACGTAAAACATACATTTTTATACGAAAATCGATTTAAAAATTGCATAACGATAATTAAAATTAACATATAAAATCGATTGTAATTAAATTAAATCTCTAACAACGTAATACCATTAGAGAAATTATAGAGAAAATATCAAGTTTAAAAACGCAATTTATATAAGAAAATACAATCAAACGTGATTGTAATTAAGTAAATTTATATATTAAATTTACTTAATTAATTACAATTAAACAACCGAAATCATTAATAAATCACGAAGATAAAGCGGATCCATAAGGAGCATTCCGTATCCGCTTGTCTTCGAAAATAACTTCGATTTCATAGAAGAAAATACAGTAGAAAGGGGTGTTATATACTAAATTTAATTACAATTAAATCGAGGAGTACGTAAGCTAGAAAATAACGGAAGTGACAGCAAAAGAGGGGGAGGAGGAGGGGGTAAAATCGTCACTTAGTTACGAAGTGTCGAGTGATTTAACACGAAGGAAATGAATCACGCGGAGAGTTTCGTCCCGCTTCCGTTTAACCGGAATTTCCAGTCACGTTCGGTATTTGGGTTTGTAGCGCTTATCGACTCGCCTCATTCGTTCGACGAACGGGAAAGATGGCAGACGACGAACTCTCTGCTAAACTCCGTCGTAGACAGACCTTAAGTGAATCCGGATCCATCGACGATTCAAATAAGAAACGAATCTTTAATCCTTATACCGACTTTCCCGAATTTTCACGTAAAGAAATCAAAGAATACGAGAAAACATTCAAAAAGTAAGTTGGATGCTTGTTTTCTTTTCGTTTTTTTTCTTTTTTTTTCTTTTTTTTCCCCCCAATTTATTATAGTTAAATTGAAGTTTTTCTATTATTATTATTATTATTATTATTATTGCAGGTTCGATGTGGGTAAAGATAATTTCATCGATTTCCAAGAATTGAAGAGAATGATGGAGATTCTTGGTGCTCCTCAGACTCATTTGGCTTTGAAGGAGATGATCTCGGAAATTGATGAAGATAACGATAATAAAATTAGTTTTCGTGAGGTATGTTTTGCTTGTTTAATGCTTTTTTAATGTTTCGGCTGGTTTAACATTAATAGAAGTTAAAATGTATGACTTAATTCTGTGTTCTGTTTGTATTTTTACATGTATAAATATTGTGTTTAGCTTGTGTGAAATGAATAAAAAGGAAATTTAAATTATACATTTTATGCAGCTATTAAATGTTTTCTTACTAAAAGTGTTTTTGTAGAGGTTAGTGGGGGAGTTTATATTTTTAGATCATATAAAATGGATAATAGGTGGTTTTAAATGGTACATATTATGTGCAGCCGTTAACTGTATGCTTATTTAAAGGTAATTTTGTTTTTACAGATTGGTATGTTTTTAAATATGTAAATAGCTTGTATAAAATAAATACAAGTTAGATTTCATTTACGCGCATGCAATTGTTAAGTGATTGCTAAAGTGTTTTTTTATTTTTTTATACGTTAGTGTATTTTTAGATATAGGTTTATATAAAATATCGGGATTTAAATTAGAATAATACTCCTTTATGCAGTTGTTACCATTTATATGTTAATACGGACTAAAAACATAACACCTTTAAGTTATACATTTTATACAATTGCTCATTCTTGTTAAAAATGATTTTTTTTAGAGGTTAGTGTATTTTTGTTATTAAAAAAAATGTTAGAAATTAAATATTTTATATATATTTATTCACTATTTCCATCAAATAATTTTAAATAGCATAAAAATGCAATTTAAACTAATTACCGTTCTCTTAATTATGAATTAAACGGTAACAGAATAAACCTGTAATTATATATCATAAATTTCAATATAGAACTAACATTAAAACCTTATTATGCATTTACAAGGATGCGTTACTTATGTTTGTAAGGTTTAATCATTTGTTACAACCTTAGTTTCGTTTGTATTATACTTAATTACATTCATGATTGACTAATTGTTGCCCTTCAAAAGTAGCACCCAGAGAGTAAATGGTGCGTGCGACTATCTGTCTCATTTACCGGGTTGCATTCGAGATCAACAGTTGCTCTGTTCTATTTACATAGCATTATCGTTATTTTATAAAAAAAAAAAAAATAAAATAAACTGAATTTTTTAATAAATTAAATTTGTATGAACGTTTTATGCATGGTTTAATGCAAACTTTCCTTGTAATTATGAATTATATTTTTGAAATTTAAGACACAAATGTATTTAATTACTTTAAAATTATTCATAATTAGAGCAATAGTGTTGAATTAAATCAAAAAAGTAATTATTTTTAATTTATTCTCATTTAAATGTAATTTAAAATAAATTTTTTATGTTCATTCTGTTTCTGAATAAATGTTTATAATGATTCTAGGTAATAATTAACAAGCTAAACAGTTTATTTTTATACATACCAGTAATTTTAATTATTTTGATAGTTTATGGATACCAACAGGTTAAGTATTGAGTATCTTTAAATTAAAAATAGGAATTATCTTAATAGTAAGTTTATAAATAAAATAAACAAATGTTTTGTGCCATCATGTACCAAGCATTAAGTATAAACACAGTTTATGTGAATTTTATAGATGTTTATAATGATTCTAGGTAATAATTAACAAGCTAAACAGTTTATTTTTATACATACCAGTAATTTTAATTATTTTGATAGTTTATGGATACCAACAGGTTAAGTATTGAGTATCTTTAAATTAAAAATAGGAATTATCTTAATAGTAAGTTTATAAATAAAATAAACAAATGTTTTGTGCCATCATGTACCAAGCATTAAGTATAAACACAGTTTATGTGAATTTTATAGGCTATAAATACAAAACCAGACTGATTTTTATGGTTTACTTATGTTTTTATTTTGAATCTATCATTTGTATTATTTCTAATAAATTGAATAATTTTTACTCTAATTTTAGTAAATTTATTTACTAAACCTTTAATATGTAAATGAAATACTTTAATTAAGTACTTATAAGATATAAATTATAAATGAGCAAGAGCTAGTTTAAATTGGTTTTTTGGAACAAAATAGTTTTCTTTTTAATTTTTTAATTTAAATTTTTCCTTCAATTAATGTTTAATTAAATATGTACAGTACTTATGACAAGAATGAATGGAAGATGATGATATTTATCATATATATATATACCATATTATCTTGTTTCAAAGTCTAATTTAGACTGATGATCACATCAAAACTTTCTGATCATTCTCTTAAGCTTGTTCATACTAAATCGTGTTTTAAAAATTGCAATTTAATGTATTATTTAACAATTAAAACTACTTATGTAAAAGATTATATATAGTTTATCATGTTAAATATATCAAAAATCATTTGTCAGCACAATTTGTATATTAACGTTATAAGAACATATAAAATTATCTATATTTTTCATCATTTTTTTTAAAGCAGTTAAGGGTGAAAGTGTAATTTTTTTCACTTGAATGAACAGCAATTCTATGTATTCGTAACTTATCTACAGTAACCTCTTTGTCGCAATAAATATAGATATAGAGATTAGCGTCTAAATAGCGTATCAANTTTGTTGTTTATATTTATCATATATATATATACCATATTATCTTGTTTCAAAGTCTAATTTAGACTGATGATCACATCAAAACTTTCTGATCATTCTCTTAAGCTTGTTCATACTAAATCGTGTTTTAAAAATTGCAATTTAATGTATTATTTAACAATTAAAACTACTTATGTAAAAGATTATATATAGTTTATCATGTTAAATATATCAAAAATCATTTGTCAGCACAATTTGTATATTAACGTTATAAGAACATATAAAATTATCTATATTTTTCATCATTTTTTTTAAAGCAGTTAAGGGTGAAAGTGTAATTTTTTTCACTTGAATGAACAGCAATTCTATGTATTCGTAACTTATCTACAGTAACCTCTTTGTCGCAATAAATATAGATGTAGAGATTAGCGTCTAAATAGCGTATCAATATATTTTAGAGAACAATCTGTACAATATTTCATAATGATTTTTAATCAAACTGAATTAAAAATCTGTATAAAAAATGAATTTCTGAAATATTTTAGTTTTTAAATCAGTTTTTAAATTGCAATTTTTTTTTTTTGCTTTGTAATATAATGTAAAATTATATGTTTCTTAACTGATTCTGTAATAATGTATTTCAACATTTATAATTTATTACAAAATTAATAAATCATTTTTGAAATTGAAGTTGTTTTATAAGTTAAATATTTACATTTAAACAAACTATAAAATTAAGTTATACAATGTGGTCTTTTTTATGTGGGGTTATATGTCAGAAGTACTATATAAAATGAAATTTTTTGTAAATTTGTAGTCCAATCCAAATGTAGTTCTGGATGACTGCGTAGATCAGGGTTGGCTAAACCTTGTCATGACAGGAGCTATGAATTGCCTATCAGAAATATGAGAGCTGCATTCTCTATTGAAACTTTGTTTTATATAAAGTGTTAGTGTTTTTTTAGTTTTGTCATGTTATATAATGTGGCTAGAGTCTCGAAGAGCTGCAATTTGGCTACTGTGGACCTATACTCGTATGCAAAATTGTAATTAAAAGAAAAAATATCATATATTTTTACTATATGATTAACATTTTAGTTTATTTTTCTGAATATACAAAGAAAAATTTTATTATATGGTATTGAGTACTCAAGGAAAATGAATGCAAATCAAGATATTCATCATAGTGAGTAGTATTCAATAGTTCTATGTTTGGAGAAGCATAATTTGCTGACTTCAGAGTCTGATTCTGTGGCACTAAAATTAGAGTAATTAGTAAAGATTAACAAATTAACTAATCTATTAGACTAAAAATCTATTAGATATATTTAAATAGAAGCATAATTTTTAAATTGCTGAATTAAAATGATGATATATAACTTACAATTTGTTAATGATTTATATATTGCACTTGATTTAAATAAGCTTAAAACTGTAATAGTATAAACAGAAAAGAATGCATTTTGGATTATGCACATTTTGTTTTTATTAAATGATAATTGATAATCAAACTTTGTTAAATTTCCTAGTTTGAAATTTGGAGCAGTGTGTATAAATCATATTGCATCAACACTACTTTTTGGTTCTGTAATGCTTTGCTGATTCTCTATTTCTTACCAGTTCTGTGTTAAGCTGGATTTAAGTTCTTGCATTGCAGTGTGTAGCAAAATAATGTCAATTTGATGCCATTTTGCTGCTTCCTAGGTGTTACTCGTAAGAACTTAAATCCAGCTTTAGTTGTTAATACTTGTTGCAACCAATGTCAGGCTAAAGACATCACATATTTATGAAGCATTCCCTGGTAGAATTCCAGTGTTAATCCAAACTCTAGCAACACTTCAAAAATTGTTTTACATTTATTTCCATAAAATATCACAAATATCAAAAAAATAAGTTAAATTATAATGATTTAATTAAGTTAATTTTTAAAAGCTTAATGGTCATAATATATCTATCTGAAATATTTCATTTTATTGATATCATACAGATAAGGACAGGAGTACAAAAATGTGTCGTAAACTTATATCTGCTAATGATGCAACAATTTATCTTGTTTATTTCAAATTATCATTTTTTAATGATAAAGTTCTCTAATTTATGTCAAACTTTACATTCATCATCAAATATTAACAAATAATTTGATTAAAAATCTTTATGTAACTTATTACAGATCAGTTATCAAATACCTTAACTATACTTGATAGTGTTTTTTTTTTTTTTTCTCTGAGGTTCCAATTTCGAAATTTGATATCTAAATTGGATCAGTTCTTACATATTCTTAACTATTTTTAATCAAACAAAGGCAATTTTGTTTTTCCTGTAAAGCTAAATATCCTCTACCCCTGCTTGCATCCTCAGGACATCCCATTTGTAGATTTACAGATGGATATTAATTGCATAATGGTTACTTTTTAAATTATATTTCATTAGCACGTTTAAAGATTTTAATAATTTTTTAAGATTCTTGAGTATCTAGAAATAAAGATTCTACACTGTTTTCTCCAA